GTGTCCCGGTCATGTTGTGATGGTGTCCCGGTCCAGTTCTGATGGTGCCCCGGTTGTGTTCTGATGGTGCCCTGGTCCTGTTGTGATGGTGCCCTGGTTAGTTAGACTTGTTACTTTCTATTGAGACTGGTGCTGCTTTGTGTGATCTCTGTCAAGCCTGGGACCGCCTATGACTGATATGTGTTTGTGTGACCAAATTTCATCTGGGCAAAACTCAAATGATTGACGTAGCTCTGACTTCTGGGCTAGCTTTGCTGACCCCGGCTCAGAAAGAACATATTGCACTTTGTCATATAGGAACATATAACAAAGAAGCCATGACGACAAGTGACCTGTGAAATCCTGAGAAAAATTAAGATCGAGATGTCCAACTGAATTCAACAACACGACTCAGCAGAAACACGGCCTGTTCTCTAGCGAATTATTGCTTGGATATCATCACCTGCCTTGATGGTACGGTGCGATAGCCATTCATTGGTCAGTACGGTTTGATTGCCACTGACGACTTTGGTGAAGTCCATAAGGTTGAGTCTATAGGCTCATTTGTTTTGTGGCTCGTGCAAACACCACTCGCATCAACGTGCTTGCTTCAAGGAGAGCGGTGAGTGCCGGGCTTCGTGAAGCAAAGCGCGCAAGGAACGCTTAGCAATGCTTTTGAGCCTCGTTGCATTATGCGCTTCGTGACCAATCACCGTCCAGCGAAGTCATTGTTTGATCCTCTGCTTTAAGCGGTGGCTCAAGAGTTGGAAGTCTCAAGGGTACTGTCACGCTTCAAAGCCGCTCCTGTGAAAAGGTTCTTTGTGTCTCGGTTTGAATGTCGCTATTGGGGCCTCCAGCTGGGCTAATGTAGACCCCACGCAAAATGAATTCAGCATCAAACTTGGAACCTTACAGAACCTCCATAGGCAAACGTTTCAGAACCACTTGATCAAAGCTTCGGCTTTGCCAACATCTGTTGACTGAGTCATCCTCAATGAACAACTGGACTGCAAGCTTGGGACGCTATCCAAGTGTGGCAAGAGCAGGCCACAAAGTTTTGTATGTCCATGGCTTCTAACATAGGTTCTATCAGCACTTGGCCGTGCTGATCGCTCGATTGCCGAACCTTATTGTGTGTTGCAGCGCCTCTCCTCTTCTGTTCGTCCTGTGTTTGGTGGAACCTTTGTGGATGACAATGTGGCACAACGTCCGTTGGTGTTAGGGTGACCCAGAAGGGCCTTATTGGCACAGCAGCGCTACCTGCAATAGGGTACATGAGATATTTCCCGACGGATGGTTTCTTTACGCAAAAAGCACCTCTTCGCTGGCAAGGAAAGCTCAAACTGTCCTCCCCAAAGCCTCTTGATGAGTAACATTTTCAGGTCCCGGTGCGTCTTGCTGCCATGTCCTGCATAAGGCCCTTGAAGAAGCTCTTCTTCCCGCTCTTCTCTGCCTGGCGACTTCTCGAACTGATCTAAATGAGTGCTTGATAGAGCTTCCCCTTGGACGTTTTCCAGTGTAAACAACCGGCTTTCCTTTAATACCGTCCGTTAAGAATAGCTTCAGGGGCGTCGAACTTTGGAGGCTCAATACAGCAGCACACGCCATGTCTCGAGTCTCACTGGAGGAGGAGTTTGCAATTTTCAAACATGCTTCGAATTATCTACTCGAAGAACGCTACTAGGAGCAAAGGGCATCGCTACTAGGAGCAAGGATGCTACTAGGGGCTCCTGGCCTTACTACTACGAACAATGTTTGCTATTAGAAACAAGAAGAACATATAAATAGAATTAAGTTTAATATCTTCCGACTGGCCACAGGGATAACTCCTAACAGGTGGAGCAAATCACTGATCTGGGCAGCAACGCAATTACTCACGGCTGACCAATGTGCAGAAAAACAAAAGGTAAAACACTAACATGCTGAAACTGCAACACAACTTCGAAGCACAACAAGGAACCTTCACCTTTTAGCCGCTACCAATTCAATGTTGATGCTTTTTCTTGCGCATCGCCGGCACTGGACTCCAACTTTGCTGGAGTCTTCAGCGGTTTCACTGTGTCTAACATCCCCAATTCGCCCATGCAAGTGGGGCTCTTAGTGTTTTCTACACCGGTCTGAGGATGCGGAAGTCAAGGGTTTTTTTGCGATCTCACAGAGATCTGGATGCCCACGAAAGCCACCGAACCAAGCTTTGCACTATTTACTTGGCGACATTGAGCCTCAGGTTCTTGCAAAATACAATGGAATAAAATGGACAGGATGCCCAAAATCACTACCAAAATCGGCCGAGTCAAGCCTGTCACAAGATCTCAGGCCATGCTGGTTGATCCCACTGAGGAGGTTCAAGACTGCTAAGTTTTCCAAATTTGACGCAGCAACTCTTCCCCCGCATCCGATCGGTGGACATGGCCGGCCGTCCAGCGACCGCAAACGGGATGTGCCAGCATTAACACTCGATGGCCCTGAAGAGAGGAACAAGGCGAACAGAATGAATGAGATCACCACTTCTTGAAGAAAACATTTGAAGCACCAAATTCAACACCGCACGGCATCACCACTTCTTGAAGCAACAAATGTTCGTTCCATCAGGATTTGGGCCCAGCATCACCCGCAGTCGTCCCCAACTCTCGGGCCCAACGTTGGCACCGGGCATCTCATCCGGGCCGGGTCAGGTTGAGACCTTCATAGGCCGCACGGCACCTTGGTGGTATTGGTTCAGAAAGGACCTGAAGGAGTCTGTGGGAAGAACCAAAGCAAATGCAAAGGCATGTAAATAAAGCATAGGAATGGAGCCATCGAAATAATGGTTGAACAGTAATGTTTGATATTCTTTTCAATGGTTCACTGGCCACAAACAACAAGACTGTGATATGCGAATCATAATGTTTCAATATGTGTAATCATTCCTTACACTGCGCCAGGGCACTCAGCAGTGGCGGATGCACGCAGCTCAACTCCAGGCTCCTGCTCGAAGGGCGACAAAGCCCCGACCGCTGCAAACCTGGCGAGCTGCTTTTCTCGAAATTCCTCAGGACTCTATGGAAATAAGGTGATTGGGTGATCTTGAATGCGCCCTACACATTAACAATTGCTTGCTTGGCTAAAACCACCCCAAAAGGCTAGCATCACTGATAGAAGGACACGAACAAACTCCAAGACGTCTCTCTTTGTTTTTTGTTTTGCGAAATCTCGCTGCCGAGAACACCCAAAGGTTGCAGCCTACTTCATGATGAACTTGGCTGACTTACCTTCTCCAAAAAAGATGGCAGCAAACTTCTTCTACCTTTGTTCGATGAACATTCATACGGGCAAACTCAGCAAAATGTGAGGAGAGAACACTGTGCTGTGTTGAGTACTGTTGCTACGACATGCTACGACTCACTCCAAACAAACAATATCTTTGCCTTGAGCGTAGCACACAGTACAGCGAATGTCTGTCGTTGATCTTGCTGAATTAGGACTCGTTCTTTCGACTAGAATCGGACTCAAGCGGCCATCGCTACTAGGTTGGAGGCCATTGCTATTAGGTTCCTTTTGCTACTAGGTTGGGGGCCATCATTAGGTTGGAGGCCATCACTCTTAGGTCTCTTAGGTTCCACCTCTCTTCTGAGATGATTGCGGGGGCTGTGACCTGTGTGGAGCCCTGTACCTTTGCTGCAACGCAAGGGACGAGCCAAACACCATGATGAAGACTCCATACCTTTGTGCCAAGCGCTGAGAATGGACTGTTGAAAGAATGCATCTAGGAAAACACCTGGCATGAAGGCCTTCCCAGTATTCACAAATGGTGTAGGATTTCTCTATCAACAAACAGAAAATGAGCAAATTCACTGGCAAATATTCTCACCCCCGTGGCCCCTAGTGATATGGCCTGAGTAAGTCAAACCGAATGATGGACTCCACAGAAGGAGACAAAAGGTATCCACTTCTCAACTGGCTCGTTTGGGGTTCGGGACTTTGCATCGCCACTCACGTGAATACAAGCATTTTGCTGAGCTACCTGGCAGCAAAAATGTCTCTGTAAGGCGTGTTTGAGAACACCTCAATTCCTTAAAACGGTGGACAAGCCTTGCTTTTTCTGGATCGACTCACGTCTTCTTGAATGTTTAGCTTGGTGATGCTATGACGTGCCACCCACGAACTTTCACAGTAATGCAAGAATACCGCGAGCGATTGTCGTCACGTTAGATCTTGGAGGCCATATGCCCCATTTTGTTTTTATATGGAACTAATTATAGTTGTTTTCGCGTTTTGTCGGTTACTCCTCTGTTTCTTTTTGGACAGGTCTTCCATTTTTTGTTATTTGTTGCTTTTCTTCAATTTCTTACTTCTCCTTGACACAAGAAACACATGTTTTGCAAACTACCCCTTATTTTCAATAAACATGCTTCTATGCTCATAAGGGCCAACGAACTATTCACACACACACACACTACAATCATACCTGAATTTCTGCGAAGAGCTCGTGGCTTAGGTCTTGGATGGTGTCACACCCAAAAATGATCCCCAAAAAGATCAAGGGGTGTTCCCAGCCTAGCAAAGTGAGAGTGAGACTGAGATAACCACGCGACAAACCACGGTTTCCTCAAAAGTCTCCTTCAGGCTCAGGCTTCCTTAAAGAAGCCTGCACCCTTTTGCGTCCGATTGGTAGCAGCTCTATACTTAAGCGGACTTAAGCTTGGTGAAAGCTGATTAAAAACGACACAAACTACATTTTGGCCTACCCGCCCCACAAAACTTTCAATCCAAACCGCAACTCACCAACCTTGAAGCGAGCGACAAGAGCACCAGGAAATGCAGCGTCTTTCGCACATGGCCTACCTGCTGAAGCACAAGCGGCTGGGACTTCCCCGTCAGTTGGGAGGATCGTACTTGGATAGTTCATAGTTTCTAGGTGCTTCCGAATCTTGTTCGCCAGTAGTCAAGTGGCTACTGATTATGCCAAATTGACAACTGTACACCAACTGCGTGCGCTAAAATCATTGTACCAGTGGGAGAACGACCCAGCAAAAGCGACATGGACCTGGAGTCTATGGAAAACCTTGATTTCTCGCTCTGACTACAAAAGTTTTTTCGCTCTGAACTTGGGGCTGAGGTACACAACGGCCTTCCCTGAGTATACTGTCTTTACAGGCAACAAAAATCAAGCACACCGACTTTTATCTTGTAATGTGGGTTGGTCGAAACAAACACCCCGACAACCCTGGTGGTCTAGAAGGACCTACGGCAGTCCAGCTGGCTCATCAATGTCATAATGTCGACAAACACCCTTCTGAAACGGATCTGGGTTCTATTGCCCTGGCCCCTTGTAGTTCACCCTGCAAACTGACCAGAAGCTTGGCATGGATGCGCCTCCTTGACTTTGCAGTAGTGGAAGGCCACAATGGGAAAGATCTGGGCAGTGGCTCTGAAATGCACAGAATCATGCTTCAAAGGGGAGGATGAGGGATTGAGATGATTGGACCCAATCAGGATCTCTCAAGCGTTGCTTCAGATTCAATCTCACCTCGGATGGCCGCGTTTTGTCGTTCTTTTTTTTCTAAATGCAACTGTGTCTTGCAACATATTGGGAGATACATCTTAGTAGCCTGCAACGCCAATTATGCTCAATTCTAGCCGCCCTGCCATGTTCATTGATTGCCAAAAAAGGATAAAGTCGTACCAGTCACCTTTAATGCTTTAGCTTTTTGATGGGACATGATCTATCCAGCTGCCTTCAGAGCAATCAGAGATACATGAGATCTCCCTGGCAGGAAACTCCAACCTAGTAGCGATGGCCTCCAACCTACCAGCTTCTTGCTACTCCTGTGAGTTTGACACTCATTTACCGAGGTGCAATGTTGTTGCAAACACCTCAAACAAGCTGATCGGCCACAGCGGGGTGTCACGGCGTAGCCCTAGCCCCATGGGAAACCCGTCCAAGGACATCAAAAGAGTCTTTTCATGCTTGTTTGCATTGCTGTGAAGAGGACACATCTTCTTGGAATGCACGGCTCTTTTACTTTAGTAGACAAGACTCGTCAAAAAAATAGTTTCCCGACTCCCGACTGTTTCCCTCCTTGGAAACCAATATGTAGACATGGACGTGTGGGTTTGATGACGTTTCTTCTGGGGTACTTCTTTACATGCCTATTGGGAGCTACTGCATCTTGCGAACAGCTCCTAGCATGAAACTTCGTCTCCATCCGACTCAAGCGAGAAACACCGTTGTGAATTACTGGAAGTTTGGAATTCATGAAAGACTGAGCGGCCAGGGATATGCAAGCCACCATGATTTCGCAGAGATTATCCTCACCACCAACTAATATGTTTACTGCATATTGCAGTAAAAACCCTGATTGGACAATCCAAGCTTTGCATAGTTGTTCACCCTCCAAAAAGATATATGCTTATGCTGTTCCAGCAAGAGAAACATCCAAGAGAGGTTGTTCAAACCAAACTCCCTTGCCA